CCGCCCTAAACCGCTATTCCAAGCTCTTGCGCCTTTTGGGGGCTCGCCTCGGCGCCAGTTCTGGGCTCACCTGTGGTTTCAGGCTTCAGGGGACGTAGGGTTTAGGATTTAGGGTCTAGGGTTTAAGGTTTCAGGGTCTAGGAATTTAGGGTTTGGGGGATGTGGGGTTTTGGATGTGGGCTTTAGGGTTTCAGGCTTCAGGGGATCTAGGATTTAGGGCTTCGGGATGTGGGTTTTGGATTTAGGGCTTCAGGTTTCACGGTTTAGGGTTTAAGGCTTCAGGATTTAGGGTTTAAGGCTTCTGGGGCTTCAAGGGACCTAGGGTTTAGGGAGGCTTTGCGGCATCACGAATAGGGTTTGGAGCTTGCTTTAGGAGTTTAGGGTTTGGGCTTTGGGCTTCCGGGACCAGGATCCAGGAGTCTAGGGTTTGGGCTTAGGGTTCACCTAGGGTTTGGGCTTAGGGTTTACCGGTTTAGGGTTTAGGGTTTAGGGTTTAGGCTTTAGGCTTTAGGGTTTAGGCTTTAGGGTTTAGGGTTTAGGGCTTCGCGTGTGCAGCACCAGTCGTCATCGCCCTCTTGATCATCACCAGAGTCCCCCCCCACACAAACTAAAGGTGTCCAGGATAAGGGCCCCGTTGCTTCTTGCCCACAGTCTTCTCGAAAACTACCCCCACCCCTCCCACCCCCCGGCGGAAGACGGCTGTAGATCGAAAATGCCCCGCGCAAACACGCAAAAGCCCCGAAGAACTGGATGACCCCAAACCCCAAAGCTCTCAGGCCACATCCTAAACCCGGAGAGAACATTTGAACGAACAGCCCTGCACATCTGAAGCCTTCTCCACAAAAAAAACCCTAAAAACCCCCAAACCCTAAACATCCCAGGTCCCGGACCCCTAAACCCCGAATCCCTGACCTCATGAAACCCGAAGCCGCCCTAAGCCCCAAACTCTAAACCCTAAACTCCTAAATCCTAAACACCCCAAGCCCTATCAGAATTTGACAGCCTGGCCCCCTAACCCTACTTGGAGGTTCATGGCTAGTTATATCTAGGGTGATAAGTAGGATAGCAACAGCTCTAACCTATATCGAGGGACTTACTTGTGACCCCACTTACCTTTAATCTAAAAACTTGAACCCCAAGCCCTAAACCCTAAATAGCTATAACCCAACGTAATCAAAGGAATTATTACCCGAGTTACAACTACCCATTCCCCATGAACCTCCAGAAAGGGAATCTGTACTATAACAAACGATAATGTTGTACTGTGATGCACTCTACGCCCTTTTTTATAAAGGACCACCCAAAAAGGACCTACCCTCAAAATTCCGAACTTTAGGGTTTAGGGCTAACGGTTTAGGGCTTAAGGTTAGGGTTTAGGGTTTAGGGCTATCGGTTTGGGGTTTAGGGTTTAGGGCTAGTGTAGTACTCCAGCAGAGGCCTGATAGATCCTCCCCCTGATGGACTTGCCAGCCTATGTAGTCTAAGGATCGAGGTGGCACGTGCACCAAATAAGGGGTACCCTCTGTTGGGGCCCTTATAACAAGGATCCTAACTAGGGCCCCCTATTTTGGGAAAACCCCCATATCGTTCTTGCTATGACTATCATTGTGATTGAAAAACTTAGTGTTGCTGGTTTGATGTGGCTGTCCAGGTTCGCGCCCAGACCGATGCTTCTGCAGAGTCATGACAAGCAACCACCCAGATGAAACAGAAGATTGTGAACTCCAAAACAGTCAGTAGATGGTGGCTTTTATTGTGGACTACCGCAGCCCCACAAGCCTACACCAGAAGCGTCTACAAGCAAAGCTGCAGCCGCAATCACGCCTTTTCTGCGACTTAAAGGGGCACTGGTGTCTTTGGCGTGTCTGTGCCTACACGGCGTCACCCAGGCGTGGGCCAATCAATTCACTGGCATCCGGATCTATCAGGCTATCTCTTAACGAGGGTACAACAATATTTAGAGCAGGCGTTAGGGTCTAGCTTGGAGGTTCATGGGTAGTTAAACGTGGGGCCATAAGTCCCCTAATATGGGTTATAACTATAGTTACCCTACTTATAACCCCACTTATAACTACTCATGAACCTCCAAGAAGGGAATGTGGAAGAAGGGATAGCCTTGCTTTAGATCTTTACGCCTCCCTGTGGCTCGAATTTCGCTCCTAGCTCCGACAGCTGCTTGTGCGCGCGGGCATAATCGGCGAAGAAGGCGTTCCTGGGCAGGGGCTCGTGAATTCTGGGGGTTCAGGGTTTAGGGTTTAGGGTTTAGGCTGGTGAATTTAGGGGTTCAGGATTTAGGGTTTAGGGGGGCTCTCGGAGAGCTTGGCAATGGTAGGCGAGTTCACGTCAGATGCTCACCGTACTCACGTCATCCACGGACAAAGCCCGAAGAAAGGTTCTCAGTCCTCGTCGCCCGAAGCCCTCCAAATCCAAGACATGAAGCCTAAACCCTAAACCCTAAACACTAAACCCTAAACCCAAAACCCGAACCCTAATTAAACCCTAAGCCCTAAACCCGAAACCGTAAACCCGAAGCCGTAAACCCGAGCTCGAAATTAAACCCTAAACCCGAAACACGAAACCCCAAACGTCTCGTTGGTGTGCCCCCATGCGCCTATAGCCTCCGCGAACCAAAGAAAAACACAACATGCCGAATCCTATCTATCTATCTATCTATCTAGCTAGCTATCTATCTATCTATCTATATCTATATATATATATATATATAATGTAGAAACCATACTGATCGGAATAAGGTTTTGGGGCCCATTGTCCTATATTTATACTGAGGATCCCTAAGGCTCAAAGGAATAATGGAGTACGATAGGTAATTATTTCGGCCTCTATATTACAGAAACGACCTCAACCCTGCACAATCGGAACCCAAAAACCTTGAGGCCCAAATCCCAAGCCCGAGTACCTGAAGCCCAAACCTCAAATCCCCAGAGCGTAAACCCCAAATCTCAAATCCGTCGGCCAAAAGGCCAAAATTCAAAACCCTACTTGGAGGATCAGGGCATTCGAAGGCAAGATTATAAATACGCACGTCCAGCATGTCTAGCTATACTTACATGGACTTACCTTTCTATCAAGCCAGTTACGAAGCGCCACGATCCATGTCCCTTAAAGAATCATGTAAGCAATTGCTTCGGGAACCGTTAAGGAAGCCTAAACCCTAAACTTAAACCCTCAATCCCAAACCCAAACCCTGAACCCTACGCCCCTAAACCCCTGAACCCTCAAGCCCTAACGCATCCTGTACATTCCCTATCCCACAGTCACGATCGGTTATGCACCAAACCCTTCAGAACCCTTCATGGAGCCCTTTTATCAATAGCAAGGAACCCGTAAGTATTCGCTATCCCGGAGGCTTTACAGAACGAACCCTGCAAGGAAACCTTTAAAGTAAGGAACCCCCGTAAGTAATATAGAGCCCTTATTCTTTTAGTCTAGGGTTTGGGGATATATTATACTACACTTATAATAGGGATCCCCCTAAATGTCATAGGTAATCATTAAGGCCCCTAGACTTATTCTCTATTCCAGAGTCTGGTCTGCTGCGTACTTGTCGAAGTGCGGCTTGAAGCCTTCCGGAAGGTCGAGGCTTGGGGCTTTATGGGTTAAGGGCCGGGATTTAGGGGTTTAGGGCTGAAGGGTTTCAGGGTTTCGGGCTTCAGGGTTTCGAGTTTGGGGGTTTAGGGTTTAGGGTTTGGGTTCACAAAGTTGGAACATGTATCTAGGATCATTAATGCTGGGATCCCCTGGGTCTTACCTTAAGGGCACGAGGAGAGTGATGTTCCGACTTTGTCAGTTCTACTATAAGGATTGGGGCTCGGGGTCTAGGGTACGGATTCAGGGTTTAGGGTTTGGGTTTGGAGTTTAGGGATTTCGGGCTTGTGTGGGGTTTAGGGATTTAGGGTTTGGGGTTTGGGGTTGGGGTTTAGGGTTTAGGTCTTTAAGACGGGGACACCTAGAAAAGGGAAAAGGATTCAGGATTGGTGGGCTTCAGGGCTTACGCCACAGGGATTCCGGGTCATTGGGGGTAGGGTGTCATGTGTGGGGTCTTCGGATTTAAATGCTTTAGTCCTTGGGGTTTGGAGCTCTAGCGTAATAGGTTTGGGGTTGCGGAGATTCGGGCTAAGAGTCTTGGGGTTTTGAGGGTTCGGGGATGGCTTACAGTAAGGGCTTGTGGTTGTTGTGTAAAGCTGTAGCATTTAATATAGAGAGGAATAATAATAACAATAACAATAATACTACTAATAATAGTGATTAGAATCGAGCTTTTTGGAGGGGTATATCATAGCAAAGTTCCAACCAGGAGCCCTAAGGAATGACCTCTCCTGATATTCAAGCTCCTCTTCTTTTAAGCCCCTAAGCCCCAAACCCCAAACCCTAAAGCTCCTGGCAGGCCCCTGGTGGCCTGGATCGGTATGAAGCGCCTCATCCGTAGGAAACCAGAGGAGGTTATCGTCCGCCATCGCATCCTGGGGATCTAATTAAAGGAAACTACAGGTGGGGAGTTTAGGGTATATAGGGCTTCCAGAAGGCTTCGATAAGGTATGTAGACCTTCTATAAGGCTCCTATAACGGTAACTGCCCACCTGAAAATGTCCTAGATCTAAGCTCGATCCCAGAGACTCCAATATCATATCCCTTAATTACGGAAATACATCTTAAATTCTTAATTATAGGAACCCTAACAGGAATTTAAGGTCTGTTCCTTAATCAAGGGATATTGGAGTCTCTGGGATACACTGAAGATTGGTGGTTTTGGGCGTGTGCCAGAAAGGGTTCAAGGCGCAATGCAGCAGCGGGCTTAAGACTTCGGGTGCCCCACGCCCGAAAGCCTTTTCTAGCATGGAGGGTTGAAGAGTAGAGAAATGGAAGTTTAAAGAAGGAAAAAAAAACACAAAAAGCCAGCAGTACATCCGAAATCGCTAAAGACCTAAACCTCTTCAAGCCCCCAACTCCTCGAAACCCCAAAATCGTCGAACCCTGGCATCCTTGTAGCGGCTGAAGTAGGAGTTGTCGAAGGTCAGCCAGTTTTTCGTCCAGGGGCAGCCGCCAGCCATGCCTACGCCATCGGCGTTGTCCTCCAGCGCTGAAGCGCTACACGCTAAAGACCCAAACATCGAAAGCACGTACATGCTGTAACAAGAACAGATCCTAAACCCTAAACCCCAAACCCTAACCCCTAAACCCTAAGCCCTGAACCCTAACCTCACCTTTCGGACTTTGCATGTGGACTTGGTGTGCTTTGAGGCACTCGCATCGCCGTAGCCGAAGGGGCAAGCCCCACTCCGCTCCTCTGGGGGATTTCAAGCGGTGTTGATATGGGGGGGGGGTCTTAATGCATGAATGGATAGAACTCTGCCGAGTTTGCGGGTATTCTAAAACGGTTTGGGTCATGACTTTCTAAATCCTGAATCAGCAACCCCATTCCCTTGCAATTACAAGGTTGACAGACCAATGTACAACAGTCAACACACGCACATCCAACAACGCCAATCGACGGCTCAAATAACGATGCCCTCTTACATCGACCTCTGTCAGCAGCATGCCATGAAACCCTAAACCCTAAACCCTATAGCCCTAAACCCTAAACCCCTAAACCTTACAGCCCTAAAACCTAGAGCCCTACACCGACACCCTAAAACCCTACAGCTCTAAGCCCGATAACCGATCAATCCTTACAAGCGCTTAAAACACCCTTATAATAGACCCTGATTATAAACCCTCTTACCTATTATGGGGGTCTTTCCGAAAATAGGGGACCCTAATATAGTACCCCAAATAGTAGGATCCTTACTATAAGGACCCCAAAATAAGAAAGAACTAGCTATAACCTAAACCCTAAACCCTAAACCCTGGCGCCCTCAACCCAAACCGGGATTGATATTTCTTAAAAACCCCTAAACCCTAAAGTTTATAAACCCTCTTACCTATAGACCCTCTAAAAACTGTCGGATCTCCTTGAAAGCTCGACCCACGGTGTGGGCACCTGAAAGCGCCACGATCTCCTGGTCGTTGAAGCCCATCCTCAACTGAATGTATACATCTGTCTATACATACATACATACATACATACATACATACATACTTCACTTCACTTCACTTCCACGTTGCAAAGTCTCGGATCTCTGCGAACGAAGTTGGGACAGGACGATTTCGCCCCGGCTTAGCTGTGGACTATTGCCACATCCCAAGGCTCCACATGAGCCCCCGGTGCGAACACCCCATAAGCGGGGC